TCCCATATACGTCCTCTGTGACCGTTCTGGTCCAGCCCTTGTGTGTGTACCTGTCAATACCACAACGTCCCATCCTCGCAGTCCTTGGCACATCTCATCCAGCCTGTGACGAAACGTGGTCTCACCATGGCTGTAACATGCAACCTGCATAACCGCTGCGAAGAACACGAAAACAAAACCCATTGCCATCCCTGGCTGGTGCGAGCAGCCTGGTTGGAGTCTGAGGAAGGTATGTTTGGTGCACTTCGTTCATGGTCGGTTGTTTGGTCTCGAGTGCCTACGACGATTCGGAGGAGGAGGAAAAGGAGGAGGGGAAACAAAAGGAAAAGGAGGAAGAGGAGGAGGCGAAGGCCTTTGTGCTCAAACGAACGATGCATCCGACCCAGTACACCTGCTGGGCAGACGCGTCAATGTTCGCTGGCCCGAACAAAATGGAGGAGCAACGAACATAATTACTCGACGCGGGGCTCCCCATATGTGCGTCTCATTCTCTTGGTACGTATTTCTCTTGATATATGTCAATGAGCGCCTGTGTGCGAGGGCGAACCGCTCGCTCGAGACATCCCCACAGTCTGCAAGCATGAGTGCGACCAGTAGCAAATCTGAGACCGACTGATTCTGAGTGTGAGTTAATCTGGGTGCGATTGAGCCTGGGTTTGGGTGGGTATGCGTGTGAGTAAATATGAGCGCGAGTGCGTCTGTGTGCGAGTGGGTCTGAGTATGGACGAAACTGAGTGTGAGCCAGTCTGTGATTGAGCGGATCGTAGCATGAGTGCGTCTGGGCTTGAGTGGGTCTGAGTGTGAGAAAATGTGTGTGTGTTAATGAATCTGAGTGCGAGTGAGCCGAGTGTGATTGGGTATGGATGCGAGGCAGTCTGAGTGTGAGTCGGTCTGCGTTTGAGCGGACCGAAGGAAGATGAGCCTGAGCAGGGACGAGTCTGAGTACAGGTGGTTCTGAGCGTGAGTCTGAGTGCGAGTTATGGATATGAGCGAGTCTAAGTGCGAGTCAGCCTGCGTGTGACTGGGTCTGAGTATGAGTGGGTATGAATGCAGAAGAGCGAAGGAGAGCGGAGAGCGAAGGAGAGTGAGGCGGAAGCGTTTGAGTGAAACCTAAAGCCTTGGAACATCGAACCTCGATCATCTGGCCTTGGCTACTCGAGTTGCCCACGTCCTCCTCCTCCTCATCACCATCATCATCACCATCATCATCATCATCATCAGCATCATCATCCCCTTCCTGCTTCTGCTCCTACCGTGGTCATGATGTCCTCCTTCTCCTCCTCCTCGTCCTCTTCCTCCTCCTCCTCCTCGCTTCCTCCTTTTCATCCTCCTCCTCCTCCTCCTCCTCCTCCTCTTCCTCCTCCTCCTCCTCCTCCTCCTCCTCCTCTCCTCCTCCTCCTCCTCCTCCTCTTCCTCCTCCAAACTCCTCCTCCTCCTCCTCCTCCTCCTCCTCCTCCTCCTCCTCCTCCTCCTCCTCCTCCTCCTCCTCCTCCTCCTCCTTGGGAGTGCTGAAGCCAGCAAATCGCCTGAGACATCCTCCCAAAACTGTTCCGAAAACAACAGATGCCCAGCATCATAACGGCCAAACCGCCTGAGACATCCCCGCAAACTGGGCGCGAACGTCCTCCAAATCTGTTCCGAAAGCGAAACATGCTGGAAGAGAAAAAGGCCAAACCGCCTGAGACATCCCCGCGAAAATCCCACGAAAGGGGCCGAGTGAAATACTTCCCCGCCGCTCCCCTAAGAGTGCTGAAACCAGCGAATCGCCTGAGACATCCTCCAAAGTTGTTCCGGAAGCGAAACATGTTGGAAGAGAACAAAAAACAAAACCGCCTGACACATCCCCACAAAATCCCGCGAAAGGAGCCGAATGAAATACCCCCCCGCAGCTCCCACTAGAGTGCTGAAGCCAGCGAATCGCCTGAAACATCCTCCAAATCTGCTCCGAAAGCGAAACATGTTGGAAGAGAAAATGGCCAAACCGCCTGAGACATCCCAGCAAAATTCTGCGAAAGGGGCCGAGTGAAATACCCCCCGCAGCTCCCTTTAGGGTGCTGGCGCCAGCTAATCGCCTGAGACATCCTCCAAATCTGCTCCGAAAGCGAAACATGCTGGAAGAGAAAAAAAAAGGCCAAACCGCCTGAGACATCCCCACAAAAACCCGCGAAAGGGGCCGAGGGAAATACCCCCCGCCGCTCCCCTTAGGAGTGCTGAAGCCACAGAATCACCTGAGACATCCTCAACATCAGTGTGTGCGATTCATCCGATGAGTGGGCCTGAGTGAGTGTAGTGAATGTATGAGTACAAGTACGAGTGGGTCTGAGTGATGAGTGAGTCTGAGTGATGAGTGAATCTGAGTGATGAGTGAGTCTGAGTAATGAGTGATGAGTCTGAGCCATGACTGAGTCCGAGTGGTGAGTGAGTCTGAATGATGAGTGAGTCTGAGTGATGAGTGGGTCTGAATGATGAGTGAGTCTGAGTGATGAGTGAGTGGGTCTGAGTGAGAGGAGTGGTGTGTTCTCTCTCCTCCGGCGCGGTCCGCCAATTACTCGACGCGGGGCTCCCCATATGTGCATCTCATTCTCTTGGTACGTCTTTCTATTGATATCTGTCAATGAGCGCCTGTGTGCGAGGGCGAACCGCTCGCTCGAGACATTCCCACAGTCTGCAAGCATGAGTGCGACCAATAGCAAATCTGAGAGCGACTGATTCTGAGTGTGAGTTAATCTGGGTGCGATTGAGCCTGGGTTTGAGTGGGTATGCGTGTGAGTAAATATGAGCGCGAGTGCGTCTGTGTGCGAGTGGGTCTGAGTATGGACGAATCTGAGTGTGAGCCAGTCTGTGATTGAGCGGATCGTAGCATGATGAGTCTGAGCATGAGTGAGTCTGGGCTTGAGTGGGTCTGAGTGTGAGAAAAAGTGTGTGTTAATGAATCTGAGTGCGAGTGAGCCGAGTGTGATTGGGTATGGATGTGAGGCAGTCTGAGTGTGAGTCGGTCTGCGTTTGAGCGGACCGAAGGATGATGAGTCTGAGCAGGAGCGAGTCTGAGTATGAGTGGTTCTGAGCGTGAGTCTGAGTGTGAGTAAGTTTAAGTATGGATATGAGCGAGTCTAAGTGCGAGTGAGCCTGCGTGTGACTGAGTCTGAGTATGAGTGAGTATGAATGCAGAAGAGTGAAGGAGAGCGGAGAGCGAAGGAGAGTGAGGCGGAAGCGTTTGAGTAAAACCTAAAGCCTTGGAACATCGAACCTCGATCGTCTGGCCCTGGCTACTCGAGTTGCCCACGTCCTCCATCCATCCATCATCATCATCATCATCATCATCATCATCATCATCATCATCATCATCATCATCATCCATCCCCTTCCTGCTTCTGCTCCTACCGTGTTCATGCTGTCCTCCTTCTCCTCCTCCTCCTCCTCCTCGTCCTCTTCCTCCTCCTCCTCGCTTCCTCCTTCTCTTCCTCCTCCTCCTCCTCCTCCTCCTCCTCCTCCTCCCTCCTCCTCCTCCTTGGGAGTGCTGAAACCAGCAAATCGCCTGAGACATCCTCCCAAAACTGCTCCGAAAACGACAGATGCCCAGCATCATAACGACCAAACCGCCTGAGACATCCCCGCAAACTGGGCGCGAACGTCCTCCAAATCTGCTCCGAAAGCGAAACATGTTGGAAGAGAAAAAGGCCAAACCGCCTGAGACATCCCCACGAAAATCCCGCGAAAGGGGCCGAGTGAAATACTTCCCCGCCGCTCCCCTAAGAGTGCTGAAACCAGCGAATCGCCTGAGACATCCTCCAAATCTGCTCCGAAAGCGACACATGTTGGAAGAGAAAAAAAAGGCCAAACCGCCTGAGACATCCCCACAACGTTCCGCGAAAGGGGCCGAGTGAAATACCCCCCCGCCGCTACCCTTAGAGTGCTGAAACCAGCGAATCGCCTGAGACATCCTCCAAATCTGCTCCGAAAGCGAAACATGTTGGAGGAGAAAAAAGCCAAACCGCCTGAGCCATTCCCACAAAATCCCGCGAAAGGTGCCGAGGGAAATACCCCCCCGCCGCTCCCCGTAGGAGTGCTGAAACCAGCGAATCGCCTGAGACATCCTCGCAAACTGCTCCGAAAGCGAAACATGTTGGAAGAGAAAATTGCCAAACCGCCTGAGACATCCCCACACAAATCCGCGAAAGGGGCCGAGGGAAATACCCCCCCGCCGCTCCCCTTAGGAGTGCTGAAGCCACAGAATCGCCTGACACATCCTCAACATCAGTGTGTGTGTGTGAGTCATCCGATGAGTGGACCTGAGTGAGTGTAGTGAATGTATGAGTACAAGTACGAGTGAGGCTGAGTGATGAGTGAGTCTGAGTGATGAGTGAGTCTGAGTGATGAGTGAGTCTGAGTGATGAGTGATGAGTCTGAGTCATGACTGAGTCCGAGTGATGAGTGGGTCTGAGTCATGCCTGAGTCTAAGTGATGAGTGAGTCTGAGTAATGAGTGAGTCTGAGTGATGAGTGGGTCTGAGTGATGAGTGAGTCTGAGTGATGAGTGAGTCTGAGTGATGAGTGAGTCTGCGTGATGAGTGAGTCTGAGTGGGACTGAGTGAGAGGAGTGGTGTGTTCTCGTCTGTGTTCTCCTCCGGCGCGGTCCGCCAATAACAAGAACCCCATACTTAGGATATGGGGAATAACAAGAACCCCATACTTAGGATATGGGGAATAAACATGAGCGTTCGGAGCCCCGTGCGGATGTCCTGGATCGGCGTGGAAGCCCCCTCCCTGGCGTGCGGAGCGCGCCAGGGGCGACGCCAGAAACAACGCCAAGGGAACATCGATCCAAGAAATCCACGTGGAGATCCGACAACCTGTCTATGCAATTGGTTTTCTTCTTCGAGAAGCAGACCGGTCAATCTCGTTGACCAGGGGGGTGATGGGGAAAAACGCATGGCCGACCCCTCGCCGAGGAAGACAATCAACTGTGATCCGTCAAATGTGATGCGGAGGCGGAGCAGGTGCCTGAAGTCGCGGTCCTTCTCCGCCTTGCCAAGCTCCTCGTTGCAGAACCCTTCCTCGTGCGGGATGGGGCAGGACAACAATGATGTCACGGTACGAGTGGATCAGGATACGTTCCACGAGTTCTAGAGTAAGCCTCGTTTCTGCAGCCCGTGTGGAACATCAAGGGGGTCCAGGGAATTCGAAACATCTGGAAACGTAACATTATCATTATCTCTTCCTCCTCTGATCGGGGGGCTGCATATTGCACGGTATCGGAGGCGATATGCGAAGCGTAACAGTACCACACCATTAACGGTCCTCCCGCCGTTATCCGTAGCAACCAGAATAATCAATTCGTTCCCGAGGGGGGGAAGCACCGAACGATATCGTTAACACCATGGAACATACACTTACTCGAATAATTCCGCGAGGAGGGGGGGGCACGATGGGGGGGTAGCTGAGGAAGACAATCCAAGGGAGGAATCAAGCCGGTCTCTTCGGAGGCAAGAGCCCCCGCAAACAATCCAAATCACTGGGACAGCCAGGAGACAACCTAAAACTAGTGTACAACGCCATATAACAATAAATGGCAAAGCAACGCCAGCAATGCAACACAATGCAAAGCAACGCGCAGCATTGCAAAGCTACGAAGGGCAAGAAAGATCATGGTCATGCAACGACAATGATTCCAATGCAAAGCAAAGAACGGCCAAGCAATGCCGAGAATTGCAGCGCAACGCAGAGCAATGCTTAGCAAGCTGCTTCAGGGATTCCCAGGGCGTTTGCAAGCCCGCCTCCTCCCTGTGGTTCCTTTTTGCTGCCCTTATTAAGACATTCCTGCAGAGTCTGCTCCCCTGACGCGTCGACCACGCCAGGGAATATCGCCATCCCGCCTCCCCCACCGCCAGCGTTTCGTTTTCCGGATTGTGCCCGCCCAAATCTCGCTGGGCAGCAGAACTATATAGTCTGAGCGACCGTGGTAGAGGGTTGACGAGTTTATGGATGTGTGAGAGAGAGAGAGACCTTATAAGAAATTCAGTTTGTCTGCTCCCCCCAGAGGCTTCGACCACAACGGGGAGTATCGCCCCTGCGCACCGCCAGCGTTATTTAGCTTACGCATTTCAAATAATCGAAAATCAACGTTCGAGGACCGAAGATCGAGATTCGATCGTGGGTCGAGGGTCGACAGTCCAGATCCCTGAGACAGCCCATCAAACCTACCAGAATCCGACTGGAATCCGATTCGGATATTACTGAGTTCATGCTGCAACCATCTTGGGCTCTCATTGGAATCCGATTGGGGTCTGATTGGAGCCCTAATGGGACCACGGTGGGATCACGCACAGAATGGCCTGGGGGCGGGGTCCCACTTCCGGGGGCGAGAAGCGAAATTATTTCGCCCAAGGGGGGGAGGAGATCGTTAGTTGCTTCCAACGGTTACCTGTGCGAGGGGCGCGGCACGACACCGATCAAAATGCAGATACGCAGGAACGTGGTGCTCATGTGTCTCAGCAAATAATTTGGGCGGGTGGTTACGGGGTTGGCTCAAATGGGGGGTGAAGAAAAGGCCGACGGGGCCCTTTAGGGCCGCTTTTGGAGCCAGAAGGTGCCCAATAGGGGCCCTGAAAGGCCCATTTAGGGTCTTGTTCTTCCCCCCCCCTTTGGGTCACCTCCCATTACCACACGTATGAATGAAACAACGAGAATCCAGATGCCGGCAGCCCTGGCCCGAACATAAACTGTCTGAGGTCCCGCGCGGATTTCTTTGATCAGCGCTGGACCCCCCTCCCTGGCACCAGGCGCCGCCAGAGGGCTCCAGCGCCGATCCAACAATCCCGCGCGGACCCACAAATGTTTATGTAATTTATGCTTACTATTGTTCTGCTCTTCGAAACACGAATCGCAAAAGCCGACACAGACGCCAAGATTGGTTCGCGTCCACCATGGGAAAAGTGTCCTCAATCTTGGAGTTCTGAGAGGTGATTGACCCGTCTGCGTGGCCTGCCCATCACCACGAGATTCAAGGTCTTTCTCCTTGTCAGAGGCCAACGCCGCCAACATTTGGTGCTCGTGCCAACCTCCAGGCCTCCGATGATGAGAGGGAACGTTCGGGGGTACTGGCTCCGGGGGGAAGCATCGACCTGGAATCTGCGATACTTCGCCGATGGATGGACGACGTGCCCCCGATAACTAATCCGCAGGTTCCTGGGCGGGGTGGGCTATCTGGCCCGTATCGGCGACGTCCAGACGATTGGAAGCCGATGCGCCGCTCTGAGCCAGCCCATCCCCCCCCCTCACGTTGTCCCTGAAGTGTTTCGGGTCAAAACTCGGCTCTTCAGCGGCCGTTCGGAAAGTTCTGGCCCCCCCCTGAACGCTCTCGGCATGGCGCCCCTCACGTTGCCCCTGACCGAATGGAACCAGAGCCTCAAACGTCGAACCAGAACTGGGCCACCTCAGCCACCCATTACGCGCGGCGCGGGGGCTCCTTCGTCGCCTCGCCGATGGACTCCTTGAGCAACCT